AATTAAAACAAGCTTGAATGCTTGGGTTAGGGCTACATTCAAGAAGTCTTTGAAAACCAGAAGTTGTGATATAACACAGAAATAAGGAATCATTAGAAGTTATTATATTCTAAGCAATGTTGTATAATAAGTTTAATATTAGTATAAGCTTTTAATGTCCAGCCTATATATTTCTTTTAACTATGTTACTTTTCTCTCTTTTCAATAAAATGAAGAGCAACCTTATAAAATCATAGCTGTTACTGCTTTGATCGAATAGATTACATGCACTCAAAGATTAAAGTAAACCCATTATTTAACCTTCTCTTCTTTAGTGCTATATCAACAAAGGTTTATAAAGCATATTTTCCATCAATAATTTTTGTTGCTCTTTTCGGGATGCATTTACTGTTTTCTCTACTTCCTTTTCAAAATTATAGTCATTAAACTAAGCATAGCATGCTAGTAAGTTATTTGTAAAAGAACATTATAGAGAACAGAAATTAGTGGAAATATTTGCTCCTCAGTATTTTTTAATAGCTGACAGTATCAATGATAGCTTTTTACACAATGGTATTATATTTTATTGGAAAGCTATTTGACATCCAATGAACTTTTTAAACAAATTATTTTCAGCTTGTCTTATTTCTATATTATAGTTCTGAATGTCAACTCATTCTTTTGTTCTGATATGATTGCTAAAAAATTTATCAAACTTGTTTAATGTGTTTTAGTCTTTCAGGGTACTATATAAGTACCTAATTCTATTTAATAACACTGTAGTTTTGATATACTGGGTAAATTTAATTCAGAGAAGAGAAAAACATTTTTAATGTTCTTTTTTCTCTGAAAAGGATATGGAGAAGAAGAAAAAGAAGATACAGAGATTTGTAGAAGAAGAAGGAAAGGGAAATAGTAAAGAAATTGAAGAAAACCAAGTTCCTCTTAAATCAAAACCAAGGCCCAGAAGAAGTAGAAAAATAGAGAACTGAGATAAGTGTTGAGACAGAAAAATAAATTTAAGTTAATAGAACCAGTTTTAAGTACACTGTGGAAAACTAACTGGAAGCTGAACAGTATGCATAAAGGAGAGATATTTAGGTGCATAATACACTCTCAGATGAAGATAGAAATGTTTATAGAAATCTTAGAGAAATGAGTACAAGTTTGATGAAAGAAAATTATTTTACAATCAAAGGACATTTTGAGTGTACAAGGTATATTTGAGACTTTGAGACTAGCGTTAAATGGGGGAACAGATTATAAGAGTGAGAGCACAAAGTAGGTATATTGAAGGCAATAAAAAGTGTAGAGAAGAATGACCTCTCCTTTTAATGTGTATGCACTCCACTAGAAGGTTAGAACCTACAAGTCGTTTTGGAGAAATGACTGCTGCCTTCCAGTCAACAATGTATGCTGTAGAAGGAACTTTTCTTTAGGTAGAGCTGGCATATCCAGAAAAGAGCATGCAAACAAAATATTTAAAATCTATTTAGAGGACTGGGGAAATGACTCAAGTGCTATAAGCATCTGCCTAGCAAGTTCGAGGCCCTGAGTTCAAACCCTAGTGCCAAAAAAAAGTGCATTGAAGTCTGTTTGGAAAATTATTTGTATTGACAGATCTTATTTGGATAAAGATGACAATACTCTGGAATAAAATTGGTAAACATGAAATTGGCTAGTGAGATTATAATATATTATGTATATAAAAATAAAGGTTGTGAAATGGATGGAAAGTAAAACAACTTTGTATACTGTGAAAATACACGTAAAACCTCACAAAAGCAGACAATTTCCAAGGGGTAGATTAATTAACTTTAGAGCAGGAGATGCTCAGAATGTGATAAAAGTAGTTTAGACATTCCAGTTTCTTTTCTTTTGGGACACCAGATTGTACTGAGCAAGTGTAAAATGTTACTATGATAGTGTAAACGGATGCCAAATGATCAAATTTGTGAAGCCAGTAAAGACTCCTGATGTCTCAGCTGAAAAGAGCTGTCCCGAATTAGAGGACTGAATATAGACCACCACAAGCCATTTTAATAGAATGTGGATAAAATGAGAAATGAAACAGTTAGTGATACAAGAAGCATTGGCTATCTCTTTTTTTTTTTTGAAAGGGAAAATTAATAGGAGAAATGGAGCCTATTGCATTACTCCATTCCAAATGTGAACTATTCGTAGGAATATTTTAAAGTCAGGAGGGCTAGCAAATGAGCCACGAAGGTTTTTTGGTTTTGTTTTTAGTGGAAGGAAATAATTGCTTGGATAGTCATTGCTTCTGACTGAATAAGCCACAATTGTCTTTACAAGATATTATTTTTAGAAATTAAAGAATATTTGATGAATAAAAATAAAGAAGACATACAGTACTTAGTCTTATCTTACTTGTATCTTGACATATCTGTTTTATTTGCCACTACCCAAGGCATGATGGTTCTCCTGAGAAAAATTAAATCCTTTCACTTGCCAGTAGCCATCCAAACATTACAATACATATTTTTCTAAAAATAACTCCACTTCTGAGAGTACTTCCTACACATATACTTACACAACCAAGTATATGTACAAGGAGGTTCATTGGAGCATTGCTTATCATTTCAAAAGTTGAGCGACAACCTAAGTATTATGGTATGTTTCCACTGTGAAATACTAGGCAAAAAGGAATGAATTAAATCTTTGTCCACTGAGATAGAAGGCTGTCCATGTTATCTCATCAAGTGCAGTTTAAGCTATACAAGCATATATATATATATATATATATATATATATATATATATATATGGCATGGAACACCATGCCAGGCTTTATCATTCTTTGTTTTGGCTTTAAAAAGCATATATTTAAAGCTGGGGGTGTGGCTCAAGTGGTAAAGCACCTTCCTAGCAAGTGCAAGGCCTTGAGTTCAAATTCAAGTACCTCAAAAAAATATACATTTAAATTTTTAACTTTAAATTTATTTGAGGGAGAAAAAAAGCCATGCTCTGGAAGCCAATCTTTTCTCCTTAAACTCTAGTTCAGTTCCTTTTCTCTGATCGTACTCTTTATAGTCTATCACAAGTAAGCACTTTAGGCACAGTTCATCGTATTGCTGGGAGCAGTTTCACAAATCAGTTTCTGCTTCCTAGTTATGTTGATTGCATGGCTTTAAACGACCAATTGATAGCTTCTGGGTTTGCTTATTCTTGTCTTAACAGAATATTTAAATACCAAAAGTATGCCAAAGCAAAGATGCTAGCTCCTAAATTGGTTCAGCTAAGGGTTTCCTCCTTCTGGAAGTTGCTTGACTGTGTTAACCCTGACCCCAGAGTACTCATTCATTGCTTCCTAATAAAGGTGGATAAAGGAAGGAATCACCTTCCCATAAAGGTGATTGCTTAAACTTATTGCACAGTAGACCCCATATATGAATCTTAAAAAAGTCACTTCTTGTCTTAACTGTGAGAACATTTCTCCCCAAAATGACATTTATTTTACATGATAAGCTATAATTCTTTTACATCTACTTTTGTGAATAACAAGGACAGCAGATGAATTAGTTGGATGGGGTATAGAATGCTTGTGTTTACAAAGGAAAAGGGACATTTGTGAAACATTTTATATTCATGAACAAAAACATATGTGATTTGTTGTTAGAGGAAGACAAATATGATACATAATCCTGTTCTAAAGTTTATGTATCGTGTATGAATATTTTTCTCTCTCTAGGGGGAAAGTGGTTCAATCAGATAATCTCTTTGAAATTCTAATTTTGTAGATGTAAGTATTTACTTTAAAAAAGCAATTTTAAAGTTATAATGAGAAGTTTAGCCTGAAGTTTATATTATACATGTGAAGAATCAGTATTTTAAAAATTGCATTCTTAGTGTATTATGGATTTTGCTTATTGAGTCTATGAAACATAACTTTAAAGTTTTATTTGAGGTCATTAAAATATGAAGGGGATAAAGTATTCCTTTATATTGGGTCTCATTGTATTTGGTTATTATAGTCTTAGAAAGCAATTTGTATTAGTATCTATTTCTCTGATTTTTAATAATGAAACCTTTCTGTCTTTGAAACTATAGACTCCATCTGACCATATTCTTTCTTTTTACCTCATTATTGAATTGCATATTGTCCCCTTGTGGTGTATTTCATCAGCCTTTTATAATCTTTTATTATTATTTTTAATTGAAAAATAAAATTGTATCTGTCCTGTAAAGCATTGTGTTTGTATACATGTGGAATTAGCCTGTTATAATCTTAGTGTTTCATTCTCCCAAGAGTAGATAAAAGGAATGACTGCTTGTTTATCATTGTTTGGGTGTAGGTGGAATTGCTGATCAACAGGCATTCTTCTCATTAGAACCCTGTCTCTCCTCTGAACTGTGGGGGCTGTTCTGAAAATCTCTGCTAAACCTTTAAGCATTTGGGGACAATTTAAGTCTCCTGTAGGGGTTCCCTGGCCTCCTTTTACCAAAGATCATCAAATTTCAAACTTGAAACTTTAAAGGCATTGGAATAGTTAAAACATAATCCTTAACTCTCAAAGAGATGGAACAACCCAATTGGTACAATGAAGTCCTCTCTTGCACTTAATATAGATATTCTTTCCTTTTCTTTCTCAAAAACAACCACAGACCGAAGATATTTTAATAAAGCCCTATAATGGGACTATTAAAATATCATTAATGGAAAAGAACATTGGGTGGTCTAATACTTTCATTTTATGTGTAAGTAAATAGAAGTGTATGTGGTAATTTTTTCCAAAAATAAGGTAAAAGCTGATGGCTGTGTAAATGAGTGGATCTGCATACTTTCCCAATTTGTTCTTATTAAATTTGCCTTAATTTTATATTTTTCATATATTGAAATACAATACACATCGATATATACCAAGAAAACTTTTAAGTTATTTTAGTCTCTTGGGAAATTATTCTTTTGGCTCTATTTTCCAAATATGATATACCATATGAATATGTACACAGAATTTTAGCACACAGATTTGTAACCTGTTTTACCTTGGTTAGTGGCTTAACTTCTGTTCTTGTTACAGGGCTTTGACCAGCTTCGACTTGAAGGATTGCTTTGTGATGTGACCTTAATGCCAGGTGATACAGATGATGCCTTCCCTGTACATCGGGTCATGATGGCATCTGCTAGTGATTACTTCAAAGCTATGTTCACAGGTATCTTACTTTTTAAAAATTATGCAACCACATTGAAACAATAAAAAAAAATCTGTGTTTAAATTTTATTTCTAACATGAAATTAAGTTATTTTGGGCTCTGTCATTATAACATTTTCAAAGGGAGTATTCACCAGTATGTATGGTTGCATGTGTCACTGTGCTATTATGGGAAATTGATGCATTTTTTCATGTCACCCATCTTTATTTCGTACCTTTTCTTTTTTTTATCTGAATAGACCATCAGAGATTTCTGTCCTGGTAATATGATCTTTAATCTATCAAAAGACTGAAGTGACAGGAGAACATTTTTTGAAGCACTTACATAATATATAATCTCCATTAGTATAGAAATACTTTTGTTTAAGTACTCTCTTTTAACTGTAAAATATGCAAAAGTCTGACTGGTAGGAATGCATACACAGAATGAAACTTTTCCTTAATTTTATTGTATCTAATTAGCAGAAGAAGTGAGTTTGACTTTAATTATCCACCTTCATTTAATTGAGTGTCTTTTCATTTAAGGTGGAATGAAAGAACAAGATTTAATGTGCATTAAACTTCATGGTGTGAGCAAAGTTGGTCTACGGAAAATTATTGATTTCATTTATACTGCAAAGCTTTCTCTTAACATGGACAACCTTCAAGACACCCTGGAAGCTGCCAGCTTTCTACAGATTCTGCCGGTTTTGGACTTCTGTAAAGTATTTCTCATATCTGGGGTAAGATATTTTCAGATTGTATTTTTCCTGCAGTAGACTGATGTAGAGTTTTAGACTCATGAAATAATGTCTTATAGAAATATGTTGCTATTAGAGAGAGGTGTCATATAGTATGTGAACTAGAAGCACGTCGAGATTAAAACAAGTGCGTTTCTATAAAACAGAATAATTTAACAAGTTTTCAGTATAATCAAATAGCATAGGATACTAATAATATTTGATAAAGGTAGATACCTTAGCCTATTTGATAATGTTTTATTCACCTCAATGATTTTTTACAGTAGGCTCCTTTAACAGAATTCTACGGAAAAGTAATCAAAGATAAGATCTTTGTAATTTTGTAATATTAACAAATTTCCAGTAATTAGAATGTTGGTTCCTTAACCTACTTGAAATATTTATTATAACTTTCCATTTTAACCCTTTGGAAATTTCCTCATGTTGTAAACAATATTTGTCTTAAGGATTATGTTCTTTGTTTCTAGTATCCTCTGTAGATCTCCTATAACCCGTTTCTAGTGGAGAAGAGGCAAGCTTGCTTGTGTTATAGTTTACTCCTGTGTCTCTCCATTTTAGGATTTTCTTGCCTATGGACTTTTAGAAAACACCTCTTTTCTTAGCATCATTTTACATTATTTATTCTTCATCTTATTTGCTGAGGATATGTCTGTGTGCTTTTAGAGTGGGATCCTTCCCTCTAAGAATTCATAATTTTTTAGAAAATTTTGTAGATTAGTAGTTCCAGGAACATGTGAAATCCAACTTTTCCTTTATCATTCCTTCCTGCATTGTGTTTCTTGTTTAAACCTATATTCAACCTTGCTCTATTTTCTCCTTTTTCCTTCTGAGCAATCAAGTAAAATAGGAAAAACAGTAACCTTTGGTGCCTTTTCTACTTAGAACTGAAAGTTTCAAGATACTACAAATATTTCACAAAGGAGTTTTTTTAGTTATCCCATGGGCTAAGTTATCATGGATAATTTTTTAATATAATGATCTTATAGTTTAACAACTGTGGTGAAATCAAATATTTGGAGGAAATAAACTATATTTTAGTGATATAGTGGAATTATAGCTCATATAACCAAAGTACTACTTGGGTTTGAAGTCTGAGAAAGGAAAAAAAATCTTTTTAATACAATTCTATTCTTTCCTAGTCCTTTTTGGGGGAGGGTTGAACTCAGGGCTTTGTACTTGTTAGGCAAGTACTTTACCACTTGAGCCGTGTTTCCAGTACTCCTTCACATTTTTATTCATTTGTGTGGCTGAAGAACAGTAGCACATTAAATGTAAATTGGCATTTATACATTAGTTTTGAATGATAGCTTGAAATATGATAGTAAGGCCATTTTCCATTTTTAAGGGATATTTTATTAGATATCTTAATTCTATTCATATTTCCTCCCCCTTTTATTATTGCTTGCATGTTAAGAGGCTCTTTATACTTTTACACATGTAATTATTTGCTTCTGGTAAATGATTTCCAGGTGGTGCCTAAAGTTCCTTGAATCAATACAGTTTCAAATTAATTTGAAAGCAATACTGTTTTGTAATCAGGTTGACAATATCAAAAGCAATTTAAAACAGGTTGATGACTTAAAACTTCTGATAGAACTGGGGAGGAAACACCCAGGAGATGTTTTCGAGTAACATTAAGGTCCTTGTAGATTTTTGTCATGTCCAATCTGAGATGGAAGTTGAGATGCATGGTGATTGTGCCAATTTGGACCTGATCTCTTCCCATAGTTTCTGTTAACTTTGGTCAACAAAAATATGAGTTTTCTATAAGGAACATCATTTTCAGTAGAACCATGCTCCTACCTAACTCCATCCTTTACAGTAATAATTTTTCTCTTAATGGTGGTAATTAGAAATACTTCATAGTATCTGGCATTTTTGTTCTTGATACGTTATTTTCTTGGTAGTTATAGAAAAGAGGACTATGAAATTAATACAAAAAATGACAGTTAAGGGTATAAAGCAAAATAGGTAAAAGAGTTTCTGTACAACTATAAAACACTTTCATATATCATGGAGATAATGGAAATTTTCTTTTGCTTTTTTCACTATTTTATTAGGATATGTTAGTTATACAGGGGAATTTCATTGTGACATTCCCATATATATTTACAATATACCTTGGTTAGGTTCATCCCACCATCATTCTCCCTCATCCCCCTATACCCTACTTTCAACAGGTTTTATTGTTCTATTTTCATATAATTATAAAACTTCTTTTATTTAGTAATATACCTTTAAAAATTATTCATTTTTGTCTTTATGACATTGTATAACTACAACATGCTAAATATTGTGCAGCCATTCTTAAATTTACACACAAGCCAGGGTTATGTTTTTTGTTTATCTGTTTGCATTTGTAGCATCTACCATCTGCTCCACACAATTATTATTAGAGGATAACAGGTTGCCCACAAAAAAACCAAGTTAATACTAGGTTGCTGAAATAGGATATTTATAATTCAACTGGAACTATACATAATAAACCAAACAATAAAGATGAGAAACATTTCCTTTATTGTATATAAAATCATATTTAATCAGAGTTAAAATGCTATTGAACATTAGATTTGGTGGTATCTCTTTTTGATAATTTATTTTTATTATTGTTATCCTGGGGGTACATTGTAACATTTACAAAATTTCTTACAATATGTCATAGTTGAATTCACCCTCTCCGTAATTCTTCTTTATCTCCCTCCTTCCTGGATCAACAGGTCTCATTTTTCTGTTTACATACATGTGTACATATTATTTCTACCATATTCACCCTCCTACCCCCTTATATCCTTTCCCCTGCCACTGGTACCCATCCCCCCAACAGGACCTGTTCTCTTTTTTTGTAAAAAAAAAAAATTGACATTTTTGTTTGTTTAAGGTTGCTATACAGGGTGTTTCATTGTGACATTACCATGTATATATGTATTATAACCCAAATTGCTTCATCCCTTCTATTTTCTCCTTTCTAATGGTTGGTCTTACTCTTTATTTAAAATATTTTTAAGTATTTTTTCTACCTATTAGTGTATCACTGGTTCCACTTGTATACTTATTCTCAGTGATAGGGGTGTGGGGGACTCCCAATAAAGTGGATATAAAATTTTATTGACATGACTGGAAATAATAAAAAATTGAAAACAAAATCAAGGAGGTACATGAGTGGGAGACAGGCAGAAGACAGAGGAAAAGGGAGCACATGGTTCTCAAGGGAAAATGAAATGAATCAGAAATCACTGGAAAAAAGATTTGCTTTGGCTAAGGAACAATCTTCTTGATGTGTGGATTTCCTGTACAATACATATATTTTGCATTCCTTATTTGGATTTATCCACAAAAATGAACAAACACAGCTTTTTTGTTTTTTATTATCATATATTAGTTGTAATGGGGGGGTGTTGGGACATTTACTTATGTACTTACAATGTATCTTAATTAGATTCATCCCCTCATCATTTTCCCTCTCCTCCTCTTCTTCTTAGAACAATTTCATCAGGTTTCACTGTTCTATTTTTATATGCATGTACAAAGTACATCATCCATTTTTGCTCTCCTTCACCCACTCTGTTTACCCTCCCCCTCCTTACTGGTATCTACCCTGGACAAGATTTAATGCATGCTAGAGAGACTGTTGCATGGATAATTAGATGACAGTGAGTCAAACTCTTTCCCTTCCCACAAACCAGTCTTGACTTCCTTTGTTCCAGGGTTACTATTGAGCAAATAGGAGGAAGCATGAGAGTTGTTTATGGCCATGCATATATTTTGAATGTCAGATATGTAAAATAGCATCCTTCCCTTTATAACCTTGACCATGCATTCTTGCCCATCTGCTACCTGGGACTCTGTGGGAAGAAGAGGCCTACCCTGGGCTCAAATAATTTCAGCCCCCAAAAGACGATTATAATTGCATCCAATGAGGAGAGTGCTTTCAAAATGCAAAGGAATAGCAAATTATATTCCCCAAGCTGGAGACAATATCAGCATTCACCTCAAGTGGCGTTTAGAAACTGAAAATTGATGAGAGAGATAGAAAGACAGAGAGAGAATTTTTGAAAGAATTATAAACACATAGCAATTGTACAAATTAATGGGATTCACTTTGATACTTCCATGCATACATATGCTGTATGTTAACAGATCATGTCTATCCACCCTTCTACTTCTTGTCCTTCGCTCTCTTTTCTATCCCTCCCTGCCCCCTGTCCCTTCCTAGGGGCTTCCCTAATAGCCCCTCTTCTATTTTCAAGTCTTTTTAGTTTCTACGGATGAGCGAAAACATGGGATACTTGTCTTTCTGCATCTGATTTTTTCCCTTAGTGTGATGTCCTCCAGTTGCATCTGTTTTCCTACAAATGACATGATTTTATTCTTCTTTATGTCTAAATAATATTCCATTGTGTGTATATGTTATACCATATTTTTTATCCATTCATCTGTTGATGAGCACCTATGCTCATTCCATATCTTAGCTATAGTGAATAGTGCCACAATAACCATGGGTGTGCAGGTATCTTTTTGAATATTGATTTCATTTCCTTTTGGTATATACTCGGAAGTGGGATAGCAGGATCATGTAATTTACGTTCCCATCAACAGTGTGTAAGTGCTCCTTTGTCTCCATATCCTCGCAGAATTTTCTCTATCATAACCATTCTAACTAGGGTGAGATGGAATCTCATTGTATTTTTGATTTACATTTCCTTAATGGCTAAAGATATTTGGGCACTTTTTGTATATTTATTGGCCATTTGTATTTCTTCTTTTGAGAAGTGTTTATTCAAATCATGTACCCAGTTAATTAGATTACTTGTCTTTTATTGTAAGTTTTTTTCAGCTGTTTACATATTCAGGATATTTTTAATTATCCATTTCTTCTTCTTTTTAAGAGATTCCTTCCTTGTATCATGTAATATTCTCACCTGTGGAAGGAGACCTTTGAGAAAAGAGTAAATGCCTATTACATCTTCTGCCCCCACAGTAGCTAGTTTGAATTCTTATCACAGTGGTTTGTTTTTTTTAGACATGCTTTCATTCTCTGTGTTGGTTGTATTAGATGTCTTTAAAAAAAAACTAGAAAGCACTAAGAATTTATTACATTAAATCACCAAGGAATCCCCCAAATTTTACCAGGATTTTAATTTTGCTTTCCCCTTGAAGTTAAAAAGTAAGTATTCTTTTTTTTTTTGGCAGCACTGGGATTTGAACTCAGAACTTCATGCTTGCTAGGCAGGCAGTCTTACCACTTGAGGCACTCCATCAGCCTCAAATATTCATTTTTTGATCTATATGGGGATTTTTCTGTATATAACACTGATCTTTAAAAACATACAGATTTCTGATGCAATCTGCCATTGAAATATCAAATAATGTTGATGACATTATTTGATGTCATCAAATTTGATGGGTGCATCGGACATAATTTGAACAACACAGCAACAGTGAGTTCTAGTATGTTAATGAGAATGCCACTTGCAAAATTATGATGTTGGAACTGTTTTTAGGACGACTTGAAAATTGTTCAATAATAATAAACTAATTTATACTAATACATGTCAAGAAAACTTAAATGTGCACTTGGTTATTTGCAACTTTAGCCATGTCCCCAGCCCTTGCACATGACTATTTTTAAAACAATTTTATAGGTTCTCATATGTGGTTAAGGAATTTTATCCTTTTTTTGCTGCTTAATCCTTTTAAATGCCAACATAATTATTTGGATTAACTTCTGCTACAACTCTGTTTTCAAGTGTACCTTCTTTGGAATTTTGGCCAGGTTTTCACAAGAAATTACATGAATTAAGAGCAACTGAGTTCTTTCTACTTAGGACTTCTTAAACTGTAAACTTCATATTTTATATTTTCAAAGTGTAAATATTCTTTGATACACAGAAATTTCATTATTTTATATGTTACTGTATGCATCCATTTTTAATACTATCTAGTCTAAGTCTTTAGAGATCTGCTAACTGAGGCACTTTTAAGAATTATGACTGAGAAGTGGATTGAAATGAACCACAATAGAATAATCCTGTATAGTGCCAGAAATTATTTACTGTTTTCCATCATTTTAATCTGTGTATATTGTTAACTATTTTATTACACTTTGCTTCTTTTATCCCTGTGTTCTATGGTTTTTTACCTTTGATTACATGTACTTGATGAGAATTCATTTACATGTTTTCCTATGTGTCTCATTTAAAATTAATAATGTTCTAGTAATTTTCTATTTTAATTCAGCAGATATTCCATTTTAATCCTATCTGTCATTATATCTTTAATTTTTGTATTATTGATATTGATAGGCTTTTACCTTTGCTGTATACCCACAATGTGGTACCTGTTGTACATGAGATATAGAAATACTTAGTCCTTCTATTAAGAAGACTATAGTGCAGAAGGTTATGAAATATCGTTCTCTAGAAATTTTAAAGAAAAGGGTAGGCAGCTGTCTGTATTGACTAGGTGATCTATCAGTCTTTTCCAGTCCTGTACATCTGTATATATGGATGTACTGTGTGTGTGTGTGTGTGTGTGTGTGTGTGTGTAGGTATAAGGTATGTTCCAAATGTCCTAAGTGAAAGATAAGTTTATTTCTCCTGTTATTATAGAAATAGTTTCCTAATTGGATGAAGTAGAAGAGGGAAAGGGGAAAGGAATTAAATACCTTAATTCCATTTCTAAATTATATAGTTTGTTTCTAATCTTTAATCTCAATCTATTTTACCTGCTATAAGTTTAGATTTAAATTTTGTGACTAACAATTGGTGGTCTAGTTTTGACAGTTTAAAGTACTCATTCTTTGTTGTTTTATTGACAACCGTATCAATAGTGATGAGAATCTGCATACTTTGGAATTATGTTTGCATTGTCATTAACTTTTATGTATGCATACTAGCAAATATATCCAAAAGCACGAATTACCCATTTCTTACTTACCTTGGTAAGCAGATCCATTACCCCAAACAGGAATCCCTTCCCCCTAGGGTTATTTGGGCAATTAGATTTTGACTGTAACTACAATTATACAACTTAAAAGTTTAAGTAATACCAGCCTGCCACTTCTAAAATTGTATTAAATGGACTTTTATTTTTTCTATTAGAAATCCAAGTTATTGATCCGTTCTCAAGATGTACATTTCTAGAAATCCATACTTTGTTATTTTCCTAGTTCTTTGTGTTAGTTATGTTTTATGTATTTTTAAATATATAGATAATAAACAAAATAAGCCATTACACATTTTCATGATTTTTGGACAGCAAGTCAACTGCTTTAAAAAGTACAATTTCTTCTTGAGTAATAAATCTATGAAAGTAGCCATGCATGTGCTAATCTTAGAGTTTTTCATGCTATCACATCCTAACTGGGCTGTTACTTTATGCAAAGGAATGAATGCCTGAGCTTCATTTCCACTTTTAAATGAAATGTCAATGGAAGGACTTTCCAGTTTTCCCTTAACCATCTAACTAATCTGCTAGTAATACAATTATAGGCTAACAATATATTGATGAGTTTTCTGTGATATACTGAATATATACCCTGACAAAATTTTAAAAATACAGATACACCTATGAACTGTCTTTGTGTTTGTACACACAGATACCAACATTTTTATGGTGGGCTTGTTTTTGTTATTTAATCCTTGCATTATATTTGCTATATAATTTTCTTATTTTTCCTTTTGACCAGTTATTAGAGGAAGAACCTCTCAATCACTTCTCTCCTTTGCCTGTTTGCCACTCTGTGGTATATTGTAGTCTGTTCTGGGAACATAGTTCTGAGCTTGTTTTGATTCCAGACAGTGCTAGACTATGCTGACAGTAAGGGAGTGGCTAAGGAATGCTCCAGTGCCCAGATGCAAGCAATAGGTACTCAAAATTTACCTGCATGAGTGATTTAATGTAGGTACATCCTTTGTCTTCAAAGAAGCCATTCACTTGCTTATATTTCCAGATAAATAATGTAGAAAGTAACTGACTCATGAACAGTTATCCTATTAAATTATTTTTATTATGTGGAATAACTTTTGAAGGAACTAATATGAATGATAGTCATGAGTAATACCTGTTTACATAAAAGGGAAATGGAAGAATTGAAATGTTCGATCTTTTCTATTTTGATTGGCTAGCTGTGATTCGTGACTGAGAAGTGGATTGACTTGAACTATAATAGAATAACCCTCTATTTTTCCAAATTTTCCACCTGGAAAGAATTTTATTAGTATTTTTTTGTGGGGTTGGATACTTTTTTTGAGTAAAGAAAACTATTTCAGCCATAATCAAAATATAACATTGTTTCTTAGATTAACTTCTAACTGACTGACTTTGATCATTTTCTTTTCTTTTAGTCACCTTTCTACTGGATTGGGTAAAGGTGGTTTGCATCTTCTTTGTAGATAATGCACTTAGATAAGAATATTTATTTGCATCTATATGGACATCAAAAGGCATAATTCACTCTATTTTGGAACAGGTATTTGTGTGACCAAAATGTGAGTATCAAGAAAGTAGCTATGTTTTACTTTTTTTGTTTACTTAATAGGTTACTTTAGACAATTGTGTCGAAGTGGGGCGGATTGCCAACACCTACAATCTGACCGAAGTGGACAAATATGTTAACAGTTTCGTCTTAAAGAATTTTCCTGCATTGCTGAGCACTGGGGAGTTCTTGAAACTCCCTTTTGAGCGTCTTACCTTTGTGCTTTCCAGTAATAGCCTTAAGCATTGCACTGAACTTGAGCTCTTTAAGGCTACCTGTCGCTGGCTGCGCCTAGAAGAGCCTCGGATGGACTTTGCTGCAAAATTAATGAAGAACATACGATTTCCACTGATGACACCCCAGGAGCTCATTAATTACGTGCAGACGGTGGATTTTATGAGAACGGACAATACGTGTGTGAATTTGCTTTTGGAAGCCAGCAATTACCAAATGATGCCCTACATGCAGCCAGTGATGCAGTCAGACAGGACTGCCATTCGTTCTGACACTACTCATTTGGTTACACTTGGAGGAGTACTGAGGCAGCAACTGGTTGTCAGTAAGGAATTGCGCATGTATGATGAAAAGGCCCATGAGTGGAAATCTCTAGCCCCCATGGATGCCCCAAGGTACCAGCATGGTATCGCTGTCATTGGAAATTTCCTCTATGTTGTTGGTGGACAGAGTAATTATGACACAAAAGGAAAAACAGCTGTCGATACAGTGTTCAGATTTGATCCTCGATACAACAAATGGATGCAAGTTGCATCTTTAAATGAAAAGCGCACCTTCTTCCACCTAAGTGCCCTCAAAGGATATCTGTATGCAGTAGGTGGGCGAAATGCAGCTGGGGAACTGCGTAAGTGTATACATTTATATTATGCATAGAAGACTAATTTCTTTCTTTATGCAGAAATTCCTTTCAAATCATAAAATAAGCACTTCTGTAAGATTAAAGATAAAAATATAGCTAGGGTTTCATTGTTTTTTGGTGGGGGAGAGGGTTTGAACTTCACACTTGCAAAGCAGGTACTCTACCACTTGAGCCACACCTCCAATCCATTTTGCTGTGGTTATTTTAGAGATGGTATCTCAAGAACTATTTGCCTGAGCTGGCCTCAAACCGCAGTCCTCCCAATCTCAGACTCCCAAGTAGTTAGGACTACAGGCCTGAGGCACTGGCACCTGACTTAGGGTCTCATTTTTAAACTGTTTCTCTAAGAAAATATCAGAAATCATCTGTATGCCTTATCTGGGCATCTAGTGTTAGCCATGGTACAAATTATATCTTGTATATACACTGATAAATAGCAGTATATTTTATTTGTTCAGCATATGTAGTTTTCATCTTGAAAGCTCAACTAGAAAGTATACCAATTTAATTTAAATTCTAATAGAATCTTGACAGAAGTTTGGCATGATTCCTTATTTCTCAGTTTTGAATACACATGTGTTATATTAATAGGTTTTATCCTTGTTTACAGAGGACTGGCTTTTTTTCTTTGCTTCCATAATTTGGTGCCTATTAGAGGCTACATAGTAATATAATATTCTTTAGAGTTTAAATGTGCAAAGTTCAGTATTGTCCAAAGTTTATTTACTGTGTGTTATGATCTGTGGCTATTAGTTTTAAAAATTATTCTGTCTTGTTGAAATATCAGATAATTTTCTTCATTGTAAACTGATCTAGTAAGTCATTTGATGGTAACTTTTTGTCTTCCTAATCTAAGATTGGTCATAAATATACTTTAACATGGAAATATTTTGGCTGCATAAGTTAATCTTAAAAGGAATAATTTTGTTATACCTTTTAAGATTAAAATTTGGATAACATAGCTTTTCCAGAAAGAAATGCAGGAAAACTGCATTTTATATTGTGACATATGTCTGTCATTACCCGTATTGTTTGGCCCTTATTCTACTTGTCTTCTTTTAATCTATTATAGAGTCCTTGTAGTTAACCAATATTCCAGGCTCCATAGTGCTGGAGAGGTTCAATATATCGTTATGTCTCTAAATAAATTCTGAGTACTTTTCAGAATATTTTCCCCCATAGTCAAAGATTTAGTTTAATAAATTTGACACTAAGCTATTTATTGGAAAAAAGAACTACTCTTATCTATTATACTTCCCCGTTTATAGAGCCCATTCTTGTTAGTGACACAGCCAATTTTCCCCCTTGTTATCATGATATTTTTTAAGACCAGACTTTCTATATTGTGGGACTAGGTGGCATGCTCATTAACTACATAGATTCCCCAATATATTTTAAAACTCAGGTTTTTAAAAACATTTGAGGCATTAGTGCCTTTGCTGTAGAATAGTCATTGCAGGTCTCCTGAATTAACCCACATGTATTATGTGCATGTTATTATGCTATTTTAAATGTATGGTGTCTGAAAAGATCTAAAAGGTGCAAGTAGTGATTTTGTGATTTCTTACAAAAGTGATTAACATAAAGATAATCTTTAAGAGTTCACAAATTATAGGTAAACAAATGTGGCAGTCAGTGGTCATTTTCAAGCTTCTTTCCCAGAGGAAATAGGTCCCTTTTCAGTCAGTGTTTGCTTGTTAATGTTATCAACCCTGTGAATATACTGCTATTCAATTTTCAATATATTGTTCCTAATATTAATTAGAGCCCTTATTCTTCTGAAAGTTACACTATTCAGGCCAAAGGAGTCATTACATAAAACCAAGAGGCTGAAGGCTTCCTTTTTCTTACCCATCCCCATGCACTTTGGGTTTCTCCTATGTCATACTCAGCTGGATATAGACTAATCCACTGGGCAAGTGGTGTAGGCACAGGCTTCCTTGAACATGACCTTCAGAAACCACCTCTCTATTTCTGATTAAAAACAGTTTTCTGTGAGCATGGTGGTACATACCTGCATTCTTAGCACTCTGGATTCTGAGGCAGGAGGATTATGAACTGCAGGCCAACCTGGGCTACATAGCAAGTTCCAGACCAGCCTGGGCTACATAGCAAGACCCTGTCTCCAAAAAAGTCTTCTGTATTTCATTTTGAAAGCTAAAAGAAACAAAAGAATTGTCAGTTTTTTGTTAATTTGTACTAACAATTTGGTTACATTTAAGCTTGAGAAATAAAACCCCCAAAACTTAACCTAAGAATAATGACTTTTTAAAAAAATTCCCCTCTAAGATGGTTTGGGTATTTTTATCTTATTTTATAAATTGCAGTTTTCAAAAATGCACGTCTCATTATAATATAGATACTGACCCTCCATGCCAAGAAACAATGCTAATTCCAGTTATAGAACAATTTTTGACATTTTATCCCATTTGATATGACTTCCTGTCATCTATATGTAGCTAAACTTTTATAGAAAATGATTGCTTTCCTTAAAATCAGCATATTAATCTGATATATTCTGTAATATTTTAAGTTAAAATATATTGGAAGTTTAAAATAATATGATTGATTTATTTAGTGCACTTGAATAGAGTCTTGATTTCAGGAGGGCCTTCAGGCCAAAAAGAGTCGTTAAATAAGACCAAGAAATTAGAGACTTCATTTTTCTCTTACCCCCACCTCCACTCCCTTAGTCCTGTATTATTCTCAAGTGGGAGCAAGAAGTAGACTGTCTCACTTTGTCATATTCTGTATTGTTGAGGTAACCAAACTTCATGTAACCTTCCCTGATGCCCTCTCCTCCCAATGAACAATATTGATGAGTTCTTCTGAATTCTATCGATTAATCATAATCTCTTTATATAAATAGAAAAAGAATTCATACCAGTTGACCTTTCCAGTTTTTCTGACCCTATTGTTTTTGCAGAGTAGGCAATTTTGCTTCTAAGGAAGCTCTTGCTTATATTTCTGAATGTTCCAGCCAAAGCTGTTTTTAACTTTTCTTCTGCCCCATGAGTGTTTTTTAAAGAAATCCTCCTCTACATACACTGTTATAATAAATGAGCATTCCCATCTTAACTGATGATGTTGGCATATCCATGCCCCTATGTAAATAGAGAAGGGGGTGGGAATAGGCGGCAAGTAAAGTGGATGGATGGGAAAAGCATTTAACAATTTAACAGGGTTATTAGCACCGCTAAAATTTTTTTATATGCACAATAACTATTGTCTAAATAATTATAAAAAGAAAACTGTGGCCACAGTTGTAAAATATTTTAGATCATTTTAGTGGTTTGGCCTTTAAAAATGCTTCCATAGAGTGTATAGACCTAAGGAAAAATTAAGCTCATAGTACATCAAAAAAGAAAAAAGACTACCAGGGTATCTGTGTATCTGCTTATTACTGAAATATAATTCCTTGAAAATGTCACTGTCCCTGACATTGGTTACAATGGAAAATTTGGAGAAGTTTAGAGGATCTGTCACTTAAGTGAAAAGGGATTCAGTTATTTTTGGCATCTTTCAAAATTATGTCATATAAGAAATTGAGTTTCCATTGAGGTTTTCTATATAGAAAAAGAATAGGACAGCTCAGGTATCTTTCACTTCAGTTAAATATTAATAAGTCAGGCTTTCAAATAATGAAACAACTTATAGAAAAAAATATTAAACTTTTTCAAATGAATGTACAATAAAATTACTAAAATTTATCACATGCCCCATGATCTTTAATGGATTTGGGGCTTATTTGATCACTAACCAGTACCCTAGGATTCTAGAGTCCATCACCCCTTTGTGGGAGACCTCATTATAGAAATAGTTTCCTTCAGGCCAAACTTCAAAGAATAAGTAAATCCTACATCATCCCTTGGAACTCTTTCTGGATTCCACTGGAATCACATGGAAAACAAAGACCTCAATATAAATGAAATAATCAAGGTAAGCGTAATTCTTAAGGTGGAGTGATTCTTTAACTTACGCTCCAGGCCCCTAGAATACTAAAATTGATTCTCTAAATTAAGGGTCAGAAAACTTCTCTAAAGGACCAGAAAGTATATATTTCAGCTTTGTTGGCTATTTATTCTCTGGCACAATTAATCATTCTGCTGTGGTAGTGCAAAAGGAACTGCAGGCAATTTATAAACAAATGGGTACGGCTGTGTTCCAATAAAGTGTTACTTATGACTGCTGAAATTTGAATTTCATATGTTACAAAATAGTTTGTTGATTCCTTCTGATCCTTAAAAAATGTAAAACCATCCATTTCATTACCTTCTAGGCTATACAAAAACAGGCTGTGGTATGGATTTGGCCCATGGGCTGAAGAAGTTTGTTGATCCCTGCTCTAGATTTTTCCAGTTGCCTCCTTACTGTTCTCGACTTTCATAGGCTATGATAGAGCCGCCATGCCACTTTGGGGCGCCAACTCCTTGCCTTTCATTATCTGTTACACCCTCCTCTCATCAGAGTTATTGGCATTAATGGATATCTTGCAAGTGTGGGGGATATGCATCTTCTTTTTAATTAAATACATTCTTTTTCAAACTAAATTTATTGATTTTACTAATAACAATAACAATTGTGTATGGAGAAAGATTGACAATAAAGATAAAAGAACTAGAAAAGTTAAAAAGAGCTAGGTTACTTAGCTTGAAGGAAAATTTAGGGATGATGAGCTATTATATAGTCACTGTGGTATTGGTGGTTAATATCCATCTTGCACAGAGAGGCTCCTGCATGAAAAAGTAAAGATGGATTTTTATAACCCCTATTCAGAAAAAAAATGCAGTTAACTCACCGACAGAGGAGCAGCATTATCTTTCTACATAGGAAAATATTAATAACCATAAAGAGTGATTAGCTATTCAACCTTGAGCTCCACCATAAAAAGAATAAGAGGAAAATAATGGAAATTACATCAAGACAGTTTGAATTAGGCATAAGAAAGGACAGTTATGACCTAGAAATTTTGAAGGCAGAATCCTGCATTAAGAAAAGCATGCAACTAGTAAAACCTGCCTTTGACTTCAAATAGATAAAGAAGCCAATCCATAGAAATCTTTTAAATCCCTTTTCTGTTAGGACATGTGACTAGGTTACTTTCTAATATAAAATCCTTCCATTAATTTGTTTGCTAATGCCATATACCGATCAACATACTAGATCTTCTCTTCTGTTAAATGGAGAGAGACAGAGAGAGAGAGAGAATAATGTACATTCAGTAGGTTTGCTTGCTTGACAGGTTGGTGAAAGTCATGCTAAAGGCAAATGAAAATGACATCTCACCAAAAAGAAATAATAAATGTTTGAATTGACAGATGCTAATTATACTGATTTGATCATTACGTAGCATATACATGTATCAAAGCATCTCATCGCACCTTATAAATATATGCAATTATTATGTGTCAATTAAAAATAAAATTTTAAAAAGACATCAGTGCCTCGATATAGCCAAAAACAGTATTGGAATATGTTGGAGTTTAACTTGTTATTAATTATGGAAATATTGCTTATTTTGAGGACAAAAACTTTTAGGATCTTGCTGTTTTATAGAAGGGTTTAGAAGAAATAGACTTGGTAAGGATCCAGGCCTGACACAATGAACAAAGCTAGCAAGGAAGAAGATCAAAATGAGAATAAGGCTAGATGTGGTGGTACACATATGTAATCCTAGTTATGGGGAGGCATAGGTAGGAGGATGCAAAGAGATGAGACCTTATCCAAAAAATAGTTAAAGCAAAATGGGCTGAGGGCATGGCTCAAGTAGTAGAGCTCTTACCCAGCAAGCATGAGGCCATGAGTTCAAACCCAATACCACCCAAAACAAAATGAGACTATTAAGAGCCTTTGAAATAAAACTGAAAATTTAAGCCTAAAGTCAGTGGAAAAGGAAATCAGTACAAAGATATGAGAAGTGGTGACATACAGATGTGATTGGAGCAGAAAAAATGTAGTTTATATCGGTAAGTTTAATGAAGAAATGATAGTATTAAATAGACTAGAAAAAGCTTTCTTCCTTTCCTTTCCCTCTCCTTCCAAGTTTTGCCTGTAGTTATTAAGTAGGAAATCTCATTCAAAGGTTGATTCATCAGCTAGGATTGCATTTGGCTTTGAGTAACTAAACCTTATTCCCATGACTCAATCTATGCCTCACTCAGTAGACTTCTGGTTCATGTCACTGCCTAGAACTATATCATATGTTTGACCAAAGCTTCAAGAGAAGCTGCTAGATTGAAGTTTGTGTTGAGCTTGGTGCTGTGCTTCCTGAGCAGTGTTGCAGGATTGAGGGAGGCAAGAAATTGGACTAGTATTTGGCAGTGATGGTAATAAATAATCTGAACTTTTCAAATCAATCTAGACTTGGTGCTTTTGATCTGGGGCCTCATAACAGCACTACTTCTTTCCTTTTGAAAAGGGATTACATTTTCCATCTGACTGGACTGTCATGGTTCTGATATTGAGGTTATTATAACAGATTGATTGAAAGCTATTTATGTAAGTTGAGGTCACTGCTTCAAAATATCTTATGTTAAAGATGGTAACTTTATTACTGAAAGAATCCTTTTTTTGTGTTTCTGATGAGATAAGGCATGTTCAGGGAGGTATGGCCATAGACCCCTTTTTATCTTTCAAAACTCTTTTTATTTTATTCATATGTGCATACGATGTTTGGGTCATTTCTCCCCTCTTCCCTCACCCCCTCCCTTACCACCCACTCCGCCCCCTCCCTCTCCCCCCAACCCCCTTGCTACCAGGCAGAAACTATTCTGCCCTTATCTCTAATTTTGTTGAAGAGAGAGTGTAAGCAATAATAGGCAGGACCAAGGGTTTTTGCTAGTTGAGATAAGGATAGTATACAGGGAGTTGACTTGCATTGATTTCCTGTGCATGTGTGTTACCTTCTAAGTTAATTCTTCTCCATCTAACCTTTTTAGAGAAACTCTTAATAAAGATCTTAATTTCATATTATGCTGCTAATCATCTTCAAGTTAAGAGTAGTACTGGCTACAATGGTAATAGGTACATAGAAACTGTTGGCCTTGGAGTATACATGTAGAGACATTATTGTCAGTGTCTATTTTATAGTTTGGGTGTAAAATAAAGCAATAAGCTTTAGAACATAAATCAGCCAGTGCATATACTTTCATCCTTAATTTAAAATTTTGTCTCATATATATTGATGTTTGTTCCTGTATACTGTTAACACAGGGACCCATAATTGAGGTGCTTTTCCTTCCTTGTGATATTTTTCATCTTTTCTTCTTATATTTTAGAGCAAAGAAATTTGAGAAATGTCAGCTTATAAAGATACAACCAGAATCCAAAAGAAAAGAAATGTTGGCGATTTCTACAAGAACACAAATGTTAGATTCTTACATTGTCTAGTCTAATGTAACATTTATTAATGGTTCATGTTAATGTGGTCCCTATAATGAGCCACCCCTCATCTCTCATTCCTACAATATGTATATTTCAGAGATTTAGATGTTATTATTGTTTCACCTAAAAATAGTTAATCGCTAAATTTGACATTTAAAATAATTTTATTTTCTTTCTCTTTTTCTTAATAGCTACAGTAGAATGTTACAATCCAAGAACAAATGAATGGACCTATGTTGCCAAAATGAGTGAGCCTCACTATGGACATGCTGGAACTGTATATGGAGGAGTGATGTATATTTCAGGTAAACAATTCTCATGTAGACACCACAATAATAGATAAGCTTTTAACTATATGATCTTCTTTCGATATAATGGTAGTAATAATTATAATTCTGAAAAATGAATAATCAAAATATAATTTATGTTGATTTGATAAGGTATTTTTGTGTATACATTTGCATATAAATGCATTGGGCATTTGTTAAGTTTTTAAGACTAGTAACAAACCAATCCTACTATAAATGCATAACTTAGAAGAAATTGGAAAGCATTTAGATTCTCTGATTTGTTTTCCTGTCCCATAAACTGTATTCTAATGAATGCCATTCATATTCATATATAGCAACCATTAATTTGTTTGATTTAAAAATTAGCTAATTTATGTGAGAAAATATATAACATATAAGCTCTACTGTACATAACAATGTATAATGTTCATTGTCTTTTAGAATAACCTACAATATGTATATTTCCTTTTTTCTTAGCCTTGTAATGGAGTCCTACTGTGGTGCCATTACATGACTATTTCTGTACTAATGATTAGTATTTGAGGCACATGCAGAGATATTTTTGTATAAAAAACTCTGAAATGACTACAGTTTACTCAGTGTCCCAGAAATAACTTTCATTTTAAAGTTGTTGTTGTTCAAATCAAGAAGTCTTAATGTAATGATCACCTCTCATATTGACATTTAATTTTGTTAGGCAGGTTCTTATCATTTGGTCCTGATGCTGTCTGCCTGTGACAGTTTTTCCCCTGTTTGAAGACCTGCCAATGCCAGGCCAGCAGTTACATTATCAGAGAACAAAGGTGTAAAGAGGATATCTGTGGTCTGATTCTCTGAACACTGCCTTATGAAATCTGTAATCATGAAGGATCAGTGAAAGTCCTGTAGTGTGTGGTTGGCAGGTTTCTGGTGTTAAATTCATGAGCAACTACGGGACATCTTTTATTGCAAGAACCATCCAGGAAATTATATGCTCACTAGTCAATAATTTATACTGTCTACCTGTTTTATGTGTGTAGTTGCTGTACCATTATAATGAAAGCTCCAAATCTCTGGGAAAAAAATGACACCTGAATTCTTTTAGTGGTGCTTTGCCAAAACCGGTGTATATTGTAGAAATGACCTTCCCAATCAAAGGTAGCATAGAAACCAAGTTGATCTATAACCAATGAGCACTATTTGGCTTTCTGGGAATTCTCAAAAGCATAGACAAAATATAATTCCATTTATAGTGATTGCATCTGGCCAATTGGCAGTAGACCTTTGAATATAAAGATTAGTTTAGATTTCTTCTTTGTCTGCAGAAGAGTCTGATACTTTCATTGTACAGACTGATTTGTATCTGACCAGTTTGCATATATAAGGCAGCACCTTATATATGTGCTTATATATAAGGTGCTTTGTCTCCAGCACCAAAAATAAAGACTTTGTAGATAATAAGACTTCACAGGTCAACAACAAACTGCTATACATATAAAATTGGGCACAGATTCAGCATTCTAATTTTTTCACTTTTACAATGTATGTTCTTATAGTAGATAACATTACTTATCCTCACCCCACCCACCAAAAACTCTGCAAAACCAAACAATTCTGTATATTATTATGGGCTTCTATGTTACCTGTAGAAGACTTTCAACTCCTTTTGATGAATATCCCTCTGGCAATCTTAATGAGATAACTAGAGTACATGTTCTTATTTGGCAAGGGAAGAAACAGGCACCTGGAATTTAAAATGCTCTAGCCCAGTGTTCAGTACTCTCTAGGTATCACTAAAAAGCAGTAAGGAAGAGAATAATCCTTTGTAGTTGGAATTTACTACAAACCCAACTGTAACAGGGGCCAAAATATATTACTACTCAGTAGAGTCTCTTAGATACCATGGGTCTTCGTTAGAGAAAATCACTGTAGTAATATAAGCCATTTTTCATTCTTTAAGAAGAAAATTTTATTTCCTTTATTTTTAATCTAGAGAATGTTTACAGAAAGCAAATATTTATAATAGCAGTGTTGATAAGCTATAATATGTAGCTAAAGTTAATTATCTACAGTAAGGAGACTTTTATATTTTTATGATCTATTTACCAAATGCCTATTATTTTCATTTATTTAGGAGGAATTACTCATGATACTTTCCAAAAAGAACTCATGTGCTTTGATCCTGATACTGACAAATGGATTCAAAAGGCACCGATGACCACTGTCCGAGGTCTGCATTGCATGTGCACAGTGGGCGAAAGGCTCTATGTCATTGGTGGCAATCACTTCAGGGGAACCAGTGATTATGATGATGTCCTAAGCTGTGAATACTATTCACCTATTCTTGACCAGTGGACCCCAATTGCTGCCATGTTAAGAGGGCAGAGTGATGTTGGGGTCGCTGTCTTTGAAAACAAAATCTATGTGGTTGGGGGATATTCTTGGAATAACCGTTGTATGGTTGAAATAGTGCAGAAGTATGATCCAGATAAAGATGAATGGCATAAGGTTTTTGATCTTCCAGAGTCCCTTGGGGGCATTCGAGCTTGTACACTCACAGTTTTTCCACCTGAAGAAACCACTCCATCACCTTCTAGAGAGTCTCCTCTTTCTGCACCTTAAGATCCTCCTTACAACTAAAATACTATAGTCCTATATTTGCAATGTATCATTATCTTCTTTTCCCCCCTTAAGTAGTATACATGTTAGGATTACCCTCCAGTGATTAATACAGATATTGGGAAAAGAGACAACATTGATGTTATTTGTGCTGTTTGTTTGGCCTAGAATGTTTATAAAGTGATAATAAAACCGTCCTGGAAATATATCCCATAGAAGCTGATGTTTAACATATGAAAAAAGGTATTGTCTATGAAATGTTTCTTCAGTACTTTTTTAATGCTGTGTACTGGGTGTAAGGTATATGTCATCTTATATTATAAGCCAAGTTGAAGTTGGATTATAGTAAATGTACAACTGTGTCCAAATAAAAAAGTTTTCCTTTCATCTTTGACTGTGAGATGTTAAAGGGAGGAAGCCTGCTCCAATGGGAAACAATACACAAATGGGTACCAACTTACATGAGCTACCTCCCTCTTTTCATAAAGTATTTTTGACATATCTGTCAACCCACCTGACTGTGTGGGTGCATTGAGAACATATAAAGTTTCTTAGAGACACAGGAGAAACTAGTGAAACTCACCAATGTTGGTTTTCAAAAAGTATGACCTCTTTGCTTATATTAAAAAAAAAGATTTGGGTTTTTGAACTGTGTATAAATTTATATACACATACATGTATCAAGTACTGAAAGTAAAATGAAGTGAAAAAGAGACATACTGAGAAAGAATAAAGCAGCAGGCCTTTATTAGGGAGAGAAGACCTGAGAGGGACCCTTGGCCATAAGAGTAACACTGAGAGGGGTAAGAGCACACCTTTCTTACAGGCTGGGGATTTTAAACATCCTGTGGTGGGACAAGGGAGGTTGGAGGGGGATGGGCATTAGGTAAGAGGGTTGGGAAGGAGGATGGGGGAGGTGCTGGACATTAGTGGAAAGGTCAGTGGGGTTGGGCAGGTATGCATGGTGTTGTCTCGACATTCCAGCAATTCCAGCATTTGCATTGTTTCAGTGTTTCCCTACATTCCAGGCTCTTTGATTTATATATATATCATACACACACACACACACACACATATGTATATATACATATACATAGCATGGCGTGGGGGCACTGCCTGTCTTCTGGCTACTTCCTGCTGGCTAGGGGCGATGTGGGGGGTTGTTGAGCCTGGAGAGTTTGTAGAAGCATGATGGCCTTGAACTGCTCCTGAGGTAGCCCAAGAAATGGCAGTAATATGTTCCTGTAAAAATTTTTGGAGGATATTAATGAGGCATGGTAGGAACATTACAGCTAGATAAACAAGGGTGAGAGGGACTGCCAGCAGAATGAGCCATGGGTACGAGGAAAGAGTATTAATAGGCTGTGAGGGTGTTAGCTGTGAGGAGATCCAATCCTCTCCTGTTTTGAAGACAAGGTCACAATGGGAAAAATATGGAGTCCCAGTAGAGGAAAGACCCATGGCATCCACTTAGCCCAGGAAAACCACTGTTCCCAGCTGTCTGCTGTTCATTGTCAGAGATTGGCATCGATTTCCCAAAGTCTTTTAGCGGCATCATGAACGATCCTGGATTGGCTGACATAAAAGCAGAGTTGACATAAAAACAGCATTCTTTGGACATGGTTTTGAGTGGCATCCTGTATAAAGGAATGTAGTCTTCAGGAGATAAAGTGAGACATGCAATTAAATACACATGAGCCACTGGTTATCAGCATCAGAAGAAAAACCAAGGGACCTTGGGGTACAGACTTTGGCTATAGGTTTAAGTAGACAAAAGAACTGGGGGCAGGGGACAGAGGTATGTACAGTAAAAGGTTCTAATCACAGGTGTGGCCTGATTGGTCATTACCTCAGTCTTTGTTTTGGGAGAGGTTCCAGAGTTGTTATCTGGAGGGTGTTCTGTAAAAGCAGTTTATGTCTAAAACTAGAGACACCTCTATCAAGTAGAGTATAGAGGAAGTAAAAGTCAAAATGCTCCCAGTTGAATAGACCGCCTAAGGGAAAATAACTCCATGAGCATGGACTACTAAAACGATAAGTTTGGAGCCAGCAAAAGTAATTTTTTTTACTTAAATGGAAAGCCTCAGCCAAAAATACGAGTTTGCCTTCTGTCAGAGGTCCCCAAAAGGGCTTGAATGTCCAGTAGCCCTGTGTAAGATCACCTCTTTAAAACCTCTTGGCTTTAGTAAGTTTTGTGAGATCTGGCATAGGTGATTCTGTTGGGATTGTGACAGCCTTCCTCTCTTGTCTCCAAACTTTCTCTGAAGAGTCTCCTCTGAAGATTTTGTCAGTTAACCATTCTGGTTAATGAGAACCCCTAGGTGCAGGAAAACTTTTCCTGGATGTTCTCAGCATTGGAGGGGAAGCTTCGGGCAGGTCAAGTGGGAATCAGTGCCAATTAAGACCCATTTGGCCAAATTATAAGCAACAAAAGAGGTTTAGAAGAAGTAGGCTTACCTAGCATCCATTTTTAGTTCTGTCTGGACTATAGATGATATCCTGACAACTTAAAAATGCTGCAGAATGTCAACAGACAACAGTTAAAGGTTTTAAAAAAAGCCAACAAAAGTAAATATGTAGAAGGCCAACTCAATTCACAAATAGGTACTGGGTAATTGCAAATGATCCAAAGAAGGACCCAGACTGAGACTCAAAAGACTTAGCATGGTTAAAACACTGAAAAGTAGTTTGGGAATTGTCAGCACATTTACTTATTTCCATTGCAGACTGCATTTTTAGGAAAATAATTAAGGCTGACAGTATTAAAGCAGCAGCACTAATGCTCCTTGTTACAATTAGGAACACATGGACACACACTTGCAAAAGTCTAGCATCGTTAACTTTATATCTCTTCAAGTTAGGGGGCAAATGCCTGTGATCCCAAATAGCCTTATTTTTTGACATACAGTATATTTCATACATATACAGTAACACTTATTTGACTAAAACTAATATAGGCCAGGTTTTAAGTAGCAGAATTGCCCAAATGGCAAGGTTTTTCTGAATGTTACTGATTATAAACAGCACATCTGCCAAAAGTTTCATTAAGCATTTTATATGTCAAAGGTTTAGATGTAATGCTTTTGGATAAACAACTTTAGCTGGTCAGTTAAATGTAATGCTTTTGGATAAAAGAGAACTTTAGTTCATCATTTTACATAAGTGGACACTTTTAACTTTGTAAATGTTTGTACCATATTTAGATAAAGTATAGACACAGAGCACAGTTATAAGGTGGTCATTGAAAAGACCTTTGCATTAGTAAATACGTAAATGAACTCTGATTTAGTAGTACTTAAAGCTTGACAAGAGCAACAGAAATCACAAATAATTACTTTGATAAAGTCTTTCCAAGTAACAGTTTTTTGCAGATGTTACTCAGAGTAGAACAATATTAAGATAGCCTTTTTATTTTATGGACGTAGAGGATTAGATTTTAGTTTGACATGACCCTAGAAAATCTTTTAGGCAACTCTTAAATTATAGTCAACTTTAACTTTATCACACACCAAAGCTTTTATTATACACTTTTAAGACTTACTCAGAACCTTCATATAACAATCTGAACCCTCTGATGGTTTGTCCTTACCTCTCCTCTCCATATTTGGAACAATCTTTAGGACAAACCCTTCTTTACAAAATCCTTTCTTATCCCAAAATATTTCTTTTTTCCTTTAACTTTTCCCCCCAAATACACTCAATACCTATATATACCCTTTTAACTTGTTCACTTTGTAACTTGTATTTTAAAAAAACTTTTATAAGAATTTTAAATTTAAATAAAATTGTTTTTCCAATTTGCCTTATTTTTATTATATAGACCCATATGGAAAGACAATTTTAAACTATTTATATACAATAAGTAACTTATAAAGACACCATTTGTTAATAGATCTAATTATAAGAGAATTGAATGTAAATATGATGAAATGAAACAGATTAAGGTTACTGTCCATATAATAATGCCTATAATTAAGTTAGACCTGATTGACATAACCTTTGAAAAACTGGTTTTTCTTAAAAGTAGCAGCAGAAGAGGTGGGGGAGAGAAGAGAACAAAAGCCTTTCTTTTTTTTACATTAACTCTGTAACAAGAATCATCCTAAAGATGTTTAAACACGTGCATATGTAAAAAAAAGTTTTAATTAGGCATACCATAAGTGTCAATTTAAGCATGCATAGATTCAAGAGCTCAAGAACATGTAAAAATTAACTAAGTAGCCACAAGTACATTGATTAGGTTTTTTTTTAATTTTTAGGAGCAGATTGAGATGTGTTCCATTCTGTTCTTTTAGGACTCATTTTGCGCGGCTTAACAGCTGAGGCAAGAGTCAATTCTAGGAAAGTGTTTTGAGTCAGTCTTAGTCTCCAATAAGATTTTTGTCTCTAATAAGTTAATCATACAATAGCCATACACAAAATTTACACAATGAAACACAAAACAATTACATTAATTTCAAGTGCACTCTTAGATATTGAAGGCTTTAGATTTACCTCTAGAGGGTGTTTTTAATAATTTTTAATAATAGTTTACCTTGGGCTGCAGTCACTTTGTTATGAGCCAAAATCTTTAACGTAAATTTGGGGAGCCTAGTCTTGTAGTGTTGGCATCCCATATTGTCAGGACAAAAGATACAGGATGCACAAAGGGATGTACAAGTCCTTCCTCTTATTTTATACTAAAAAATTTGTTTTTAAATTAGAATTTGTATCACAGGGTGGGAAAAGGGCAGAGTGCAAGGTAAAAATGATTACATCTCCATTGAAACTGGTGATAGTAAGCATGGAAAAGGTAGAATGAATTAGCCCCTCAAGAGTTAAAATTTAGGTAAGGGGCCTAATGAAAAAAATCCAAATGCCTTATTGAATCTGTAGCAGAACTAAGGAAGGCTGCTCTTTTGTCTTTTAGTTTATACCATAAACCTAGAAAACTGAGATTTTAATTTTAAATACAGGGGGCATTTTAGATAGAGAATTAAAATTCTGTCATTGGCTTTTCCAGCCTGTGCTCACATGAAACTAAATCCCAACTGCATGGTGCCTTGGCCAGGAGAGTAAACAGGCCAGCCCAGGGTTGCCACCTGCAGTGACCTGGATATGACCTAACCCCCTTTGTGGTCTTGACATGTCTGCAAGGGGAAAACAGCCCATCCCAAAAGCAAGACTTAAAGGAGAAAACTGTTAGTAGAGTGTTTAAGCAGACTTAGAGGCTTAGTTTTTAAGTGGGAGACCAGGAGGTTAGCACACAAAAGTACCTCCAATCATTGGCCACATGTCATTTAGATTTATAGTTGATTTTATGTTTGTAGTTCTGGGACCAGGTAAGTAACTCAGGATGCTGAAGGAACTGACAATTTGACTT